GACTCATTGACTCTTCAGCAATCCCTCACACTAAGCATGCTTGTAGCGACAGTGGAGAGGACAAACTCCCTTTGAACAGGAAGAAACCTCCAGCAGAACCAGGCTCAGTGTGAGCGGCCATCTGCTGAGGCCGAGTAGTACCGTAGATCATCACTAGGAGGCAAGGAATTGTGCTAGTGTGGTGTGTAAATGGTGGTAACGAACTGAGCTCGGCACGGATCGTTTTTCAGAGGGTAGGGTAAATGGGGGGCCCTACTGTAGAACTAGTACTAGATTTAGCGCGGTTAGGTTGTTCCTGACACGATCCAGTTCAGCACTGCTGATGGGGTAAAGGTTTTATTTCATACGTCAAAACAAAGCTTTACCTTGGAAATTCATTCTGTAGATCAGTGGGGCTTTTTTATCCTGTTTTTCTAAGCAATATTTAATCCATATGTTTTGCTGCTACATAAAAATGCTAATGAATAACTGTTATAATGTTTTATTCTACTGTGGTTCCCCCCCCCCAGGTCCATGGGCAGGGCGGAACACCAGCATAGACAGCGGTAACATCGAGGTGGGGAGACGGGTGACCCAGGATGTCCCTCCCGGAGTGTTCTGGAGATCCCTCCTCTACCTCAGCCAGCCGCAGTTCCTGAAATTTAACATCTCTCTCGGGAAGGACGCCCTCTTCGGAGTTTACATTCGCAAAGGCCTGCCCCCCTCACACGCACAGGTACTCAGCAGAACTGCTGCTTATGCTCATCATTACAGCTTCACAATGAGCTACTTAGCATATACAACAAGGATAAAAGTTCATTAAAAGAAATAAATGCTTTTGTTGCATTGCTCATTTAAACATTAGTTACAAGTTAGAAAAGCTGTTTGTAAAAAGAATAATTCAAAGATTTCCGTCTAATTAAGTTTCACAGTAATGCAACTTCAACTGTCTCCTGTTAATTAGTGGCTCATTTAAAAATAGATTTTATGGAATAGGGATAATTTCATCCAGCTAACTGCTCCATTACCAGACATAACTTAAGCTTGAGTCCAAAGTCAAGAAGTAAGGAAACCCAAGAGAACAACGCCCGCATGACGAGGAGTGATTTTCCTCCTAATATGCCGAAAACACCTTGTATGTAGTTCAGGCTTTCACGGTTGCAGCGTGCAGCACATTTGTTTCATGCCCACCAAGCAGCTGGCCTGTTAAACTGTAAAGGAAGAGAAGAGCAGGTGGCTTGGCTGTTTGAATGAATTAGCTGACCAAGCAGAGCAGATTGGGATTTTGGGGAAGCTGTCCTTTAACAACTTGGATTAAAATGAATAATGATGTTGGTAAAAAGGTGGGAAAATGAACAAACGGCGCTCTCATACAGAAAGCGTTGAATGTTTTAGAACATAAATTGGACCGTTATGAGCCGTTAATAGCTAACCTGAGGAAGTTCAGTTTTGGCGTCTTCCGTTTGCTTAAAAGCTAAAGTTTAAGGTGATTAAAGAGGACTTAGATCACCGCCTGTCTCAGAAATGTCATAGCAGTTAATGCCAATGCTAATATAGGAACCTTCTCACCTTAACTTTTGCACTGTCGTCCATGAAGGCAGCTGTTCTTGGAAAAATAAGTTCTTATGCTACGTTCAGACCGCAAGCAGCAGAAGCAGCTAGTTCAGATGCAGTCTATGTTTGAGGCGCATCAAGGTGCATCAAAAGGTCCTGCAGCACATCTTCATGCAGCTAAAGCACGGCCTCATAAGCGCCTCTGATGAGCGCAAAGCGCTTCAGAAGCAGCAGCTGCTGGAGTTGGAAACATTGAACTTTATCTGCTGGATGCGCCTCCTCAACCAATGAGAGAAGCTGATCTGGGAGCTGGCAGGGAGTCAGACGCAGCACTGCTGATGCAGAGCGCTATGATCACTCCTCTGAAACAGTTTATTAACGCCTAAATTAACTTCAA